GGTTTATTTCATAGAGGCTGAGATTTAAGGAATTCTGAATTTTATCTTGCTTAAAAAGTTGGAATACATGACTGTAAGTCTCCTTCCCCCTCTCTAATTCTATAATTTCAAATCTAAATTATATGTTATAACATTAAAAAAGAAAAAACAATCCCTTTTCACTAGGTTAGTACTAAATAGAGCCCTGGTCCATATCAACAGGAGATAAAAGATTTGTCTAAGAGGAAACTTGGAACAAACCCGAGTTCTCTGGTAGGCAGTTTATGTTTTATCTAAATAACTACATTGCTTCTTATGCTGCTCATCTAGAAATTAAAGTTATGAAAATCCATTGCTCAGAAAATGTCTTTTTTTTTTAATTTTGACAGGCAGAGTGGACAGTGAGAGAGAGAGAAAGGTCTTCCTTTTGCCATTGGTTCACCCTCCAATGGCCGCTGCAGCTGGTCCGATGGCAGGAGCCAGGTACTTATCCTGGTGATCCATGGGGTACAGGGCCCAAGTACTTGGGCCATCCTCCACTGCACTCCCTGGCCATAGCAGAGAGCTGGCCTGGAAGAGGGGCAACCGGGACAGAATCCGGCGCCCCAACCGGGACTAGAACCCGGTGTGCCGGCGCCGCAAGGCGGAGGATTAGCCTAGTGAGCCGCGGCGCTGGCCAGAAAATGTCTTAATAGTTAAAATGTGATTCTTGCAATCAATTATTAAAAGGATTATGAGTCAACTTTGACTACTAAGGTACTTCTGAGTAATGTTTCTTTATAAGCTTTCATTTCTAGATAGGCATGACTATTTATGCTCTAATTTAGTGGGGGAAAACCATGGAAGTTTCGTTTATTCTTTAAAAAAGTCCACAGTACCTGTGGGATAGGAAAAACTTCTATGTAAAGATATCTACGAATGTTCCTAGTCTAATAGGTTTCCTGAGACAGAACTGACAATTCATCAAAACAGATTTTTTTTTTTTTTTTTTGACAGGCAGAGTGGACGGTGAGAGAGAGACACAGAGAGAAAGGTCTTCCTTTTTCCATTGGCCATAATGGCCGCTGCAGCCAGCGCGCTGCCAGCGCACCGCACTGATCTGAAGGCAGGAGCCAGGTGCTTCTCCTGGTCTCCCATGCAGGTGCAGGGCCCAAGCACTTGGGCCATCCTCCACTGCACTCCCCGGCCACAGCAGTTAGCTGGACAGGAAGAAGAGCGACCAGGACAGAATCCGGCGCCCCAATTGGGACTAGAACCTGGTGTGCCAGTGGCACAGGTGGAGGATTAGCCTATTGAGCCACGGGGCTGGCCCCAAAAAAGATCTTAACTGTATCCACTCTGGAATATCTGCATCAATAGCACTTGGATGACTTTAAAATTATTTATATCCAATAATTATGGTTAATATTGAACTTTTTAACTCTTCAAAATGAATATTTTTCATAAAATCTGCTATAATTATGTTTTTGATATTACCATTAAAGCCAATATTGAAAATAAAATCCAATTAGAAAGAAGAAAAAGATTTCATGTTTTTATTGTTATAACCTATTATTTTCCCATTTTCAATACAGTAAAGACTCACGAGTTCAGAGAATTTACAATTCAAGTCAATTTCTGAGGTTCTGAAGTACAGGTTATTTCACTTAGATAAAAAAAAAAAAAAACTTGTTGTAAGTGACATAAATCACCCTTTATCATGGAATAAGTTGCTTAATGCTTCAGAATAAGCAACTGAAAGTGGAGAGGTGTTGAAATAGTTTCCTATCAGATTTTTTTTCCCTCTCATATACCTTCTTAGACAGTGGGGGAGTTAGAGACCTGATAATGTTGATTGCAAGGAATCTATGCCACCTTCCTTTACAATAACGTTTCCTGCTCCTAGGAAACCAAACAGTCCCTCTGATATTTCTCCTCTGGTGCCTCTTCAACCACTGTAACTTCTTCTCCATTCATGACAAATATCCCTATACTTTTAAGGATAAGTATTAAGGTGGGACTTGAATCAGCCCTTCACTGCAGTACCTGTTTCTCTTGTCAATCGAAACATAGGTAGTATTTTGTTTGACATCATAGTCTAGATATGTGTTTGGTTCTTTGAGTTCATTGCATCATGTAATTCTGGAGTAGGAAAATTTGGGAGGATGTAGTGAATTATGATTTCAATGTTCAGTATGTTATACTTACTTGTATCCACTGAAAATACGGACATATATGATATATATCAATGTCTATCCCTTGAAATGGAGACTAAGCTTTCAGTATAAGTCAATCACTTGGAACTTAATTTTATATTTTACTAATGTGAAGTAATAGCAGGGAAAAACACTAAAATTTTTGTATCTCTGTTTCCCCTGGCTTCATTTTTTTTACATAACGTGTATATGAATAGATGGCTGTTCAAAATGACTCATGAAAATTAGTGATATTTATCCTACAGTGTTATCAGGTAGCAATGTGAGTTGCTGAGACTTCAATCACTTCACTCAGTAAATATTTTGTCATTAACTCTGAAGAGCTAGAGACGGATACATGTGAGCCAAGTCATATTGAGATAGTAACGTACGGATGATAACTGCCTGGTGATCTATTTAAATCAAATCTTGTGAATTGAAATCTCAAACCATAAGCTGCATGAAAAGCACCAGAGTACCTGTCACTGTTTCCTCAGCTTGCTTCGTCAAGTGCAATTTTGTAGGTCAAAACTTTGGGGGTAATTCTCTTGCCTCCATCATAAGGATGAAAATATAGAATGAATTATCTTTGGTGATAAAGAACAGTTACCAAAATAGAGATGACTCAACTTCTGCACAGTGGAGCTATGTTGTAATGGAAATTGGCTTTCAGCTGCTGTGACATGTAATTTTATAATACATTTTAGAACATTTAACCTACCCACTTTTTTTTCCAGCTCCGTCTGAAAGAGCGAGAGGTAGTTCTATTGTTACAGTCTGCTAAAGCTACTTACATGCTATTTATATACAGGAATAAAAGGGAATTCTTTCTTCACTGGTGGTCTCTTCCAGCTACTAAAAAAGCTGCTTGGCCTAAAAATGTCATCAAACACAGGGACTATTTGATTTGCTTTGTCTATAATCGATTACATGGCTTTTACTAAAAATAGCACAACTCAAGAAATGTCAAAAAAGAAGAAAACAATATGTTCAATTCTATGTCAAAAATTTCTAAAAATTTTTGAAGGAGAAAGGCATGCCCATAAACAATCTGATTCCAGTCTTATTTTCAGTAGTCATGCATAAATCATGTAGCAAGGAAAAGAAAATAGCCTATGGCAAAGAGAGATTTCTTACCTAAAATGGCATTTTTAAGAATTTTTAGAAAACTTGGAAGAAGTGCATTTTAGCTTTATGGAAAATATATGAATTGTTACTCAAAAGGCACTGGTTTCAATGCTATTGTACTATTTATTTGAGAAATTCTGAGCTATGTACTCTTTATTATTGATCCTCAGTGGTAACTTTTACAAAATGGAAGAATACTTGTCCATTTTATTGATGTGTTTTGAGGATCAAATCAGCTGAAATGTTTGCACTGTTTAAAGCATTGTCTGGTACATTGTAAAATTCAGTTCAGGGTGTCCAGTACTCCTATGAATAATGCAATTTGTATGACATCTCTGAAATATGGCTATGATGGTTTTTGTTCCTGCTTTGTGTCACCTGTTGATATAAGCCTCTGAACTTAATATGTTAATATATTATTAAATATAACTTATACACATTGGAGTAACTAAATACTTTCATCAAGGCACAAAAATTCCCCTAGGAATAGGAAATGAAGTGCTAGATTTAGGGTTTAAAGTAAAATGATATGAATCTCAACAGTATATATCTGGGTGATAGGGGAAATGAGTCTCTCATAGTAAGAATCCGAAGCATCGAGATGACACCTGCATCATGAGTGAAATGCCACTGCCTGCAATTCTCAAGGGCAGAACTCTCGTCAACGCTATCACTTGTGCACCTTCTCTTGCCCTGACATCTGCCAGGTCCTATTTTGCATAAACTACGGTGGATTCTGTCAAACAGCACAAGTAATAACATAACCGTCTGAATCATTAACGGAAGACTTTCTTCTGACATTGGCTGTCACACTATGTGTGAATCAAATTTGCTTCATTAAAATAATTTGGTTTTTGTTCTGACTGCTCAACATTGCTATTTGAATGAGTGAGCAGCCTTATTGACTCTTCACCGCTATTAACAAGTCTTAATCGCTCAGATTCAGCACAGTTGGATATTGCAATCAGAGTCAATTCCCCATTTGATTCCAGCACAGAAGTTACCCATGAAACTAACAGAGTGGTAACACAGCAGTCTCTGATTCTGCCTCCTTTTCTTCGAATTCTCTGAAGAAAATGAGACCATAGAGGGATGTATCTGTAAACTATTATTTTTTGAATTTGCTGTGACTATATGAATATGCACCATCACTGAGAATTCTGAAAAAATTTCAAATATATTACTATTCTGTTAAAATTAGAAGTGTCCTGACAATCAGCTTTTCCATGTGGGACTTGTACATCTGGTTACCCAATCCAGTTGAGAGGCAATCATTGTAATAGGTTCAGGTTGTACCATAGCATGACATCTGCTCTGCAGTACCCAATCTGACTCTGCATATGAACCCTTGAAATAAGGCAATTATGCTTTCATTAATTCCAAAGCAGTTCCCAGCAGCTGATATTTGGTCACAAATGATAAACAGTTAATAGGTAAGTCAAGTGAATTACATGAAATATAGCTTTCACAGGTAATTCAATCAGTTGCTTTCCCTTTTGCTACAAGAAAAAAAAAATTATTTTTCCTAATCACTCCTCACAGTCTTATTTTTGGAAACAACAATATATCTAGGATTTAAATAAGGGTTAAATCATAAAAGAACATGCCTGCTAGCATCAATGTCTGCTGATTTATGACAAGAGCACTTTTAGTCAATTATTGTCTGAAACACTGAATGTAGCCCCTGGGGTTCAGAATTTAGTCATACAAAGTGTCTGGCTCACATTGGCAGAATTGACCATTAATTATGATGACCACAGGTGGCAATCCACATGTATCTTAGCTTTCTCTGGAAAATGTGCAGCATAAAAGCTATTAGAACCAAGGTAAAAGCAAATTCTCTGGTGGAAGGAAAAGGAGGAAAATATCACAAATTTGACAGTAATATGCACTCTTTAATTTAGAACTCAGAACACCAGGAAAATAATCAGACAAGCATGGGCATTCCGGATTGTGGTGCTCTGCGTCCAGAACCCAGTACTCTCTTCTGGAGTTGTGGCCCAGGTCAGGTGCTCTGAAACCTGAAGATATTTGTGAGACAAAATTTATGATTTCTAGATTCTATTTACAAAGATACTGGTTTTATTGATCTGGAGTGGATATATAACTCGTATTTCTTAAAAGCCTCCCAATTAATCCCATTTTGTTTTCCTCAATGATCTCTTTTTGGGTACCACCAGGACAAGTGTTTTCCTTCTCTTAATTTTAATTTGATAAAGACTAGCGCTGGACAGAGTGGATTGTATATAGCACCTTTCTCTTGTGGCCTTGGCTGTTGGAAACTTAAAGCCAAATATTGTGTGAACTCTATGTCTGCCTGGTCCTCCAGAACACACATTTTGGGGGGAGGGCAGAATTATGACCTAAACTTTTCTTTCTTCTGCATTTTTGTCATTTGTTTGTTATATTTATTCTGTTGCTGTTTTGTGTATTATTTGCAGTGATCTTTGCAGGAAAATTTAGGACATCAAAACAGATAAGGAGCTAGATCCTTAACAATAGAGGGATAAGAAAAAATATGTGCTGATTAGCAGTGAAAGCCCCAAATGAAAAAAGTTTAGAATGGCTTCACTCAGCTTATTTGGAATTCTGCAAACCATTTCAGACAGCATAACATAAAAAGAGAGAAGAGTTACAGTGCTGTGGCATAGTAGGCTAAGCCTCTGGTGACAGTGCTGGCATCCCATATAGGCCGTTGGTTCATATCCCAGGCTACTCCCCTTCATAACCCGCTCTCTGCTTATGGCTTGGGAAAGCAGAGAAGGATGGCCCAGGTGCTTGGGCTCCTGAACTAGTGTGGGAGACCAGAGGAAGCACCTGGATCCTCGCTTTTGATCTGCTCAGCTCCAGCCATTGTGGCCATTTGCAGAGTGAACCAACAGATGGAATACCTTTCTCTGTGTATCTCCCTCTCTGTGTCTGCAACTCTACCTCTCAAATATTTTTTTTTTTTTAAAAGAGAAAGAGAAAGAAAAGCACATATGCAATATGAACAGTAGGCAAAGTGTTACAAGTTGGTAGGGAAAGGAGAGTTGAAAATTAGAGGTTTTGAAAGGTTTGAGATCCCAGTAGAAAGAATGGGCCATCAAAGGAGGAGGTACCTTTCTCTGAAGGGAGGAGAGAACTTCCACTTTGACTATGGCCTTGTCTAAATAAGATTGGAGTTGGCGAACAATCAAAAGGCTTCCATAGCCTTTGCAGCTCATGACAAGAACCTTGGGTGATTACTGACTTCATAAATAATAGTGTCAATTGTTAAATCAACAACAGGAGTCACTGTGCACTTACTCCCCATGTAGGATCTCTATCCTTAATGTGTGGTACTATGTGAATTAACAGTATAACTAGTACTCAAACAGTACTTTATACTTTGTGTTTCTGTGTGGGTGCAAACTGTTGAAATCTTTACTTAGTATATACTAAATTGATCTTCTGTATATAAAGATAATTGAAAATGAATCTTGATGTGAATGGGATGGGAGAGGGAGTGGGAGATGGGATGATTGTGGGTGGGAGCGTGATTATGGGGGGAAAAAGCTGCTATAATCTAAAAGTTGTACTGTAGAAATTTACATTTATTAAATAAAAGTTAAAAAAGAAGTTAAAAAAAGAAAGGTTTGTTTTAGGAAGGAATCAGTGTACGATATTAGAACCAGATTACCTGCTGTAACCATGATACTGAACTCACTCTAAGAGAGTGTACCTTTATCATTGCTTATTTTCTGGCTACATCATACAGAGTCTATTCTTCAATAATTATTTATTTACAAAGTGTCATTTCATTCAGTGGCATAACATTTGGCCTTTGTACTGTTTATAATTACAAAATTTTATGAGACAATTTTAGATGACTGCGTGAATGTACTCAAGATAGAAAAATGTGTGGTGGTTGGTGACTGCTGGTTGATACTGTCAATAGAACTTAACATATAAAATCCTGGGGATATGCATGTAAATATCATGTGTGGTTGGATCCAGAATATGGGCAATTAATCTCATTTTATCACACTGGTTCGGTACTGTAAATTTTGAGAAAGTCAATGAGAATTAAGCTTTTTTAAGGACAAGTACATATGTAGGTTTTAATAAGCTTTTATCCAGTTCCATTTGTCAACATAATTACTTCAGTAAACATCTTACATTGATTTAATACAGAAGTAAAATTGCTCTATATCAAAGATGCTCAAACTGATTTATATCAAAAAAGGGTATTTTAAAAATTAGGGCTTCAACTCACCTGATTGTGGCTTTTACCTAGCAAGAGATTCAACTGTTCCATTCATACCTGATGCTTGAATTTTTAAAGAAAATAAAAGTGACAATCCTGGCTACTACTCTCTTCTTGGTGATTAAAGTGTTTGGCACATATTATGCACTCAAGAAAATGTTACAAAATGAAAAAAAAAATGATACGCTTTGAGACAGCACAATGGTCATAACAAAAGGTAAATTAAAACATTACATGAATAAATGAATATAAAAAATACCAAGAGGTATTACAGCTTGGTGTTTGAAACTGACAGTCTATAAACTTAGAAATAAACAGATAAATTTCATGACAAAAAATGAGATGAAGAAACACTCATTAAAGTTCTGGTCTTATTTCCCAAAAAAGATACATTAAATATATCAAAATAATTTTGTTCTGTCATATCACAAGTACCATGGATAGAACTAGGTAGTTGAAAATATTTTTAAATGAATTATAACTCATGTTTACACATTTCTTTTTATGCCTTCTAATAAATCTCCCCAACAGAGCTTCATGGCAATCCTATGATGTAGACAGAGGATTCTTTTTTAAAAACAGAAAAATAACTTATTAAATGATTAGCTGAGTTAAACAGTTCTGAAATAGTCAGGATTTAAACTTAAAGAATTTAAGTATTGGAAAAAGAAACCTTATATTTTATTTTGTTGCACTTCAGTGTTTGGGATTTTGTTTAGAAAGCCTTCTGCTAGTTACTGGGAAATGATTCTGGTCACACTTCATAATGTAGATGAGCATGAGAACATATGGATCAAGAATCAGCTTACTCATCTCTTCTCTTGCTTACTTTTATTAATAAACTAAATAATAACACTTAGTTATCACAGACTATTTCTTCCATGTTCAAGAAAGAAAACATATATGTGCCATTTAGACAGTAGGGGAATTTTCTGAGGAGATAGCATATCTTTGTGGAGATTACAGTTTGAAGAAAGCACCAAAACTCTAATTACAAAGTAGAGGGACTCTACTGGCCAGACAGCCAAGAGACTGTGTGGAAGAGATACTTTACATGATGATATAACCTGCCTAGTTGCAGAGGACTCCATCTCAAATCCTATGTTAGTCAATTTTGTTTAAAGTTTTCATGGCTGTTACATGCTTTAGGTTGACTATGAAAAGAAAATTATAAAGGAAATCTGCCCTTACAGATAGTAAAATGAATCATAGCATAATGCACATGTACATGTACAACACTGCCAGGTAACACAATTCTCATCTCTTCCCTTGAGAAATATCTCCCTGAAGGCAATAGTAACTATCACAGAGGAACTTCATTGAGTCTAATGCAGGTCAAAAGATATATTTAGGGAGCTTGCTACCACAAAAAGGCATAAAGAAGAAATGCAAACAGAACTCTAAAACAATTCCCATTCCCAGAGTTGCTATGTAACATTGAGACTTTCAATTTATTTCAATGACAGTGAGCTCATTTGTCAGGAAAAATTTGAGGTAAAAAAATATAAAATGGAAGAGGAAGAGGATACTACAATTTTGTAAAATGTGCAACTGTCTCTTAAAAACAATGATCTTATTTCCTATCCTTGTTTTTCACTCTAATTAGTGGTGTTTCTAGAAAAAGAAAAGTGTTTGTATAGAAGTTATTTTCCATATTTTTATTTCTAAATAATATAGAGCTTAAATGAAGAATCCATATTTATTAATTCTGAAGAACTCCATTAAATTAATGGAACATCTGTACTTTTTATAACATATCCATGCTAGGAAATATATATATATATACTGCAGGGAATAAATACCTGTATTAAATGTGTAAAATATTAGACAAACTGACACTAAAGAGTAAATATGTTAAAGATCCTAAAACTCTATGTAATTTATTTTTATCATTCACTGCTAATTAATACAGTAGAATGTCCAAAGATTACCTTTTTGTGTCAGTTCTAATATTCCTTATGAGAGAAGGTGGGTATGATATATATCAGGGAGAAAAATACACAATGAGGACATATAAATGTTCAGCAATTCACAATGTACTTTCTTGATGCAGAAAACAAGGTGAAAAAAGAAATGCTGTCTTAGCATTCACATTTTCTTGAAAAAATTTGTCAATGATTTAAATTCCCTCTCATTTGACCCCCTCCATCCCTATAATAATTTCCTGCAGACATTAAATCACACAATTTTTTTTTCTATTTTACCCACACCTCCATGGACAGAATTGGGAGTTAGAGGTGTTCACAGATTTTTAGATTCCCTATAAAATGACATTGAAATGCAAGTTCTCTTAAATTAGACATTAATTTTCTTCCTTACTGGTTTTAAAGGGAAAAATTATTACAAACCATAGTAAAATGCATAATAGTAAAAAAATCTATCTCAGCATCTAATGCATGATATCTGTCCAAAGTTGACTTTGTATAATGGTCTAGGTATTATTATCAAACATCAAAGAGTATCATTTTTCAAGAACTCATGAGTGAGTCTAATAAGATGCTTGCAAATGAAATATCTGTTCAATAATATTCTTAGCTTTCTTCCAAGTTTTCTGAAAATTTTACCTTGTTAATTTTTCTTTCTCCCTCTCTCTTACGTGATGGGAATATTGAGGGAATTTACACACCTCACTTAGTACCACAGAAGCTCAAGAGCCTTAATTAAAACAAAGTACATTTCCTAAATAACAAAAAGAAACTGTTCATGCCTAATGGGAAAATATATTTTATCCTAGTTAATTATTATCATTCCCATTTTAGATGATAGTATATGCTCT